TTTCTCGATAAGGGACAAAAAAGATTCTTTTTTGCTCGTTTATATAAAACAGTGGATAAAAATATACGTATAAGCGAAGGGCAAATTTATCTGTTTAAATGAACACCACTAATATTTCCTGCAAACACACATCGATTTACATCTTTTATCTCGCCTCCGACACAGAATTATTTTCGTACAAAATTATGCAAAAAAGCTTACTCGTTCGTTTTTAGGCATGCCATTGTTACGAATTTTGAAAGCTCGAAAATACGATTCGGATTGCTGCATACTATTTCTACGATTCGTAGTAAAATCCGAATTCGAAAGAGTTGCAGAATAGGGGCGTTAGTTGATCGCAAGGAATTGGATGGTGTGAAGAGTTCGTAATGAGGACATTTGAGAAAGTTGGTAGTGTGACCGTGGCATTACATTTGTATGGCTAATATTAGGTTCTTTCCCGTACGCAACGCGGGATCTCGCGGGTGCCCAAAATAGCCCAGAAATCATTCCCGTGCTCAACAAAATGGGTAATAGAGAGCGAAAATTGGAACGTATTGGATCGTAAGTGTTTCCTTCTTCCTGCCCAAAACAGCCCGGACTTTTTCTCCGTGTAAAAACGGATAAAGCGTCAAAGTGTTATCAGCTGTTTTGTGTTTACATGTTGCCTGTTTCTAGTGATGTGCTGAGTCAATACTGTGGCGAATACTGCGGCAACACAAAGCGAACAAGAGAAATAGGCAGAATGTTCGAGGAATGACGTAGAATGTTCCACAAAGAGAAACGTCAAGTTGGATGAACACTGCGAACAGCGAGAGAAAGAGATTGAGCAATAAACTTCAGAATGTTCTAGAGTTGCCATAAGTGCCAGCGCAGGTATATAAGGGCGCCGCCACCGCGAGGTGAGTTAGTTACAAGACAGCGAGCTACAAGTAAAGTGAGCAGAGAAGTGAGTTGCGAATAAGCAAGATATAAGTTTAATTGCGTTATCAAGTTTAGTTAAGCGCTGTTATTGCTTTAACAAGTATTGTAAAGTGTTTTTACTGTATTAGCGAGTATTGTAAATTGTTTGTTGTACAATAAAATTAATTGTACTACAATTTGGTCATCGTTAGCATTTATTTAACAATCCTGCGATACGAGCCCGAGTATATTTGGGAAATCCCTCAAGGTTTCGAGGATAATCGTAACAATTGGTGTCAGAAGTGGGATTGTTAAATAAATCCCGAAGGATAAACTACTGAAAATGGCGAAAATTCAGGACTTAAAAATTGAGGAGCTGAATCAGGAGTTGGAAAAGCGTAATTTGGCCACCTCCGGAAGAAAAGTGGAATTGTTATCCCGGTTGCGAGAGGCTATGGAAGCTGAAGGCATCGACGTGGACAAATACGACTTCCAAGGTAAACCCGACGATACATCCGCAAAGGACGAACAGAAGGATCAGGCTGCATGTTCGTCGAAGGATGTGCAACAGACATCCGGCAAGGTTGAAGAACAGCAAAAGGCTCCTTCGTCATCAACAGTTATGGACATGAACACGTTATTGGCTGCCATCTCGCAGATGATGCAAGCACAGGATACACGCATGTCAGAGATGTCATCACAGCTGTCAACTCAGATGCAAACACAGTCGTCAGATGTTTCATCGCAGATACAAGCGCTGGAGACACGTATATCAGCAGCGGTATCAGCACAGATGTCCTCCCAACTGGAAGCACAGGATGCAAAGATTGTACAAATACAGGAAAA